TGTGATCTGCTCCTTTCCAGAATTTAACTTCCTTCAGGGTGTAAAAACTTGTCTTTGAAGACTTCAAAGTACCCATTACAGTTTTAGCAAAAGATATGCCTTAAATTAAATTTTATTGAATGAATAGCATGTATTTCAGACATCTCAGAAAGCCTTGCTTCCGTGTTTCTTTACGATAGTGTCACAAAATAAAAAAGTAAGCCAAAAACAAAGCCAGGATAATTTTCTCCAAATGTATAAAATTGGCCAGTTAATTAGAGAAAGTAAGATTATGGTTAATTGAAATTTTACTGTATGAAAATATGGGAACTCATTTTATTGATTGGTTACCATGCAGCAAGATTTTCTATAGATTAACTTCTTTTCCACAAGTTAATAAAAATTCCAATATTACTGCCAAAGAAATGGAGGCTGAGTGATATGTAACAGATTCCCAAAAGATATATACCAGGTTGAATGAATGGGCAATCTACTTAACCGACTAGATCGACTCTGAACTCTGTTTCTTTTACTACATTTTACTCTCTCTCAGTACTGTAAATCAGTCCTGAAGTTTGGGAAAACTTCATCTTAACAGAGATTGCTCATAGATTTAAAAAATATAGTCCCCTAGAGGTCTCTGGAATAGCAGCATCGGCTGCATACAGGAAATGTTTAGGAATTCAGAATCCCAGAACTTATTCCCTCCAACTGCACAGAATCTACTTTTAACATGATCTGCTGATTTGTATGCACATTAGTGTTTTGGAAGGGCTGCCCTGTTACGCCCCTACAGCACCACACAAGGTTTGTTTTAGTAGATAAAATAGGATTGTGCCATTTCCAATAGGCCTCTTTACATTCTTGATAGTGAAAAATACTTGACTGTTATGATTTCTGTCGGGAATATGGCAGATGATCAAAAATTTGTGCTTTGGAATCATGCACTAATTTACTCTGCCAGATCGCTTTTACGTTATCAGTACTGAGGAAATTAAGCCTCAACAGGACAGTTTCTCACTAGAGGCTCTGACATTCACAATCTTTCCTGTAGGAGGGGAAGCAGATGGGCCTGGACATAGATATTATGCATTCAGATAGCAAAGCGGCAATGTTTCATGAGCTGCCCTGGAGCAAAGTGGGAAGAGTTCTGTGTTAATTTTTTAATGTCTTTTTAATTAAAAGTGTCAAGCCGTAGTCCCTGAGTTCCACTGAGAGGGTTGAATTCTTCTCTGTTATCATCTTTGAAGTGAAAGCCAATTTAAGCAGCCATTTATTTTTCTTAGTCTTTGTTTCTGGTTTCCTGATTTCTAATTTTCCTATTTTTGGTACATTTGGTTAACTGTTATGTTTGCATTTGAAGTCATCTTGGAACAAAGAATGGACACCCATCTGTATCACCCAAACATGGCCACAGTAATGCTGCAAAATAGTGTAAATTGTCCAGGGCATTTAACAATAAGATATATTTGTCACACCACATCTGTGAATTGGTAGGGGCTTGGCTCATCTAGAAGGAACTTAGTCAGGACATCTACTTGGTGAGAATCTGATCCATGGGTCTCTTATCCTTCTTCTGGTACCTGTAGGCTGGGCATGCTGTTGGCACTGAGATGGCAGAGGTCAAGAAAACAAGCAGAACCACACAAAGCCTCTTGTCACTTAGGCTCAGAATTGACACACTGTTACTACTGCTTATTCTATTGATGTGGCCAAACCCAAAGTCAGATAGCAAGAAAACATATTCTCCTTCTTTTATGATGGGAGGCACTACAAGGTCACATAGCAAAGGGTGGATGGAGGGAGAGGTTAATAAATGGAGCCTTGATACAATTTATATAGCCTATGACACTGCTTGTTTGTTTTCTTGGATTTTCTGTATTTCAAAGATTTCTAGACTCCTATTTCTCATAACAACAGGCATTGTGATGTAAATAGGGTGATGGCAGTTGCATGATTTGTTTCAGATATGCTGAAAAGGGATCTGCTTAATTAATACCTCGAGCCCAGATTTATTCCCAATCTTTTTTCATGCTCACGGTTAATGTCACATTATAGAAAACCATGTCATGCTAGTTATAAAATCACTTAGGTTGCCCGATATTATAGATTTTTCCCTTTCCTGAGAATATAGCCTTTCAGAGGAGGTCAGATCATGTTGAGGAAAATTGCTGAATATAAGTAGTGGTGAATAATTCAAACACCAGTCTTGAATCTATTGAGAGGTAAGTTCAGAATAGGGAATCCAAGAAACTCTTCTATGGATTAGTAGTGTTAAAATCCTGCTTTTCAATAACTCTTCCAGATTAGAAAGCAACCTTCTTTAATTTTCTGCTTGAAGTACTATATGAAGAAAATATTTTTCAGAGTTTTGGGAAATGACATGAAGATTTTTCCCTAAAGGCAAAGAAGGCTGACTATTTTAGGAACTATGATTTGAAGGTGCCTTGTTTGAATACCTCCCTCCTTACTCCCAGCATCTCAATTTTTACCCTTAGAGAGTCATTCTTTGAGCTAAAGTTTTATTGATTTTTAAGACATTTCCCATGTATCAGTTTATTCTGCTCTGCCCCCTGCTTAGTTTTCTCATGGGAGATGAAAAAAAAAATCAATTATCAAAGCATTAACTTCTAAGGAGGCCAACTGTTTACATTCATTCTTCACTTTACCTTTATTTTATCTTCCTTATCCCAGACTGGGCTATCGTCTTGCCTTTTATAAGCAAAAGTCTCATTAATAATTATGGTCAAACAAAAGAGCAATCTTTCCTCAGGATGAATTCTGTTTCTTTCCTAGCCTTGTACCTCATGGGAGTCCTGTAAAGATCAAATGAATTAACACATGCAAACCACTTAGAAGAGTGCCAGTCATATTATGTATCATTTTCTTTCCCCATAGTATCTGTACCACTTTATTGCATTTATTTTTGAGGTTGTCTGTCTTTTCTTGTTAGACAGAAATTTTTGAGATACCTAGAAAAATCCATGGCAGATAATATGTCTTGAATAAATATTTATCAATGGAATGAATTTTTTGAGCACTCATGATGTGCCCAAACCACAGCAAGGCATTGGATGTGCAAAAATAATGATTACCTAATACCTACCTGGTAGGAGGGCCTAGCCTAGGAGAAGAAACATATTTCAGGTCATAAAACATGATACGCAATGGGTAGAATGGAGGAAGATAAAGAGGAGATCAGGAGCCTAGAAGCAAGAAAGACACTCAAATTTCGGGGGAGTAGTTGAGGCAGGCTGGCTAGGAGATCAGCTGCTTCTCCCCATGGAGCCAAGTCCCTAAGATAGGGGTCGCCACAGAGGATAAGGAAATTGATAGGAAACAGAGAGAATAAAAGAATACACAGAGACTAAGGTATAGTTTATAGTTTTATATATATATAAAGATCAAATATAATACAGCGGGGTACTCAGGAGACTAGTGTATCCCATGAACGCCAGCCACGTGGTTAGATTCATACAGGTTTTTATAATCACAGACGTCAATTATCAGTTGTCAGGGTAACATATTTGCATATCATGGAATGCAGTTGCTAGGGGATACAGGTAGTGGGGTGGGGTCAAAAGTCCTCTCAAAAGACTTCTAATCTATCTAGGTGAACAAACAGGTACAAAGTCTTTCAGGGACTAACTTCTAAATTCTAAGAGATAGTTGTCAATTAACAAAGGTATAACAAAAGTGGCATAGTGACTCTAAATTTCTTTGATTAGTTATTGTGGACTTAAAGGTAGACAGACAGGAGAGAACAGGAAACCCATCTCTATGAAACAGTTTGTTTATAGCCACCGGGGCGCATCTCTGGGCAAAGTGCACTCATTGTCTCTGGCTCCCATCCTGTGGGCCATATTTGCCTTGTCTTATCTTTCAAGACACAGGGAAGCTCACAGATTTTGAGATACTGGAAAGCCTTCCTGGAAAACATCCCTACTGGAGATTTTAGAGCTCTCCCATGATAGTAGCCTCTAATAAGTGAACCATTGAGTCCACACATTCCTTCAGGGCAAAACCCTGTAAACTTCTGTTTCTGTCTTTAATATAGTAATATACGGTTATACAATAAAATAATGGTTTTATGAGCCACATTTCATTAATTCCTCAATCATATTTCTCAACATCAAATGATCTCATAGCTTGGGTTGGATATCAGGAATGTTGTCTGGGCAAATTTAGGAAATGAGTTAGAGCAGTAGTTCCCAAATTTAGCATGGATCAGAAGCACCTGGAAGGACAGTTAAAACACAGATTGCTGAGCTGCATACCCAGAGTTTCTAATTCAGTTAATTTGGAATGGGCTTAAGGATGTGCATTTCTGACAAATGCCCAGATGATGCTGATGCTGCTAGTCTACAAAACACACTTTGAGAACCACAAGAGAATGGGGAGGTAACACTATAAACAGAGGCAGTTCTCTAAACTCTGTCACCGTGTGGGAAATAGAGATGTGCAGGGATTGAAAGAGGTGGAAAAGGCCCCTATTATATAGGATGATTCACATTTATTTCCATGTATTCCTCCAACAATGTTATGGGGTAGGTTTATTTATGTTATGAGCTAGGTTTATTCTTAATTTGTAGTCTAGGCTACAAATTAACCATAAAATCTCAGGGTTTAGCCTACATACCCACATGTGCATACAGTTAATTTTTACTTATGTATATGTCTGTGCAGGTAGATGGGGGCTCTGCTCCATGTAGTCACTCAGGGACTCTAGTGGATACTGTAGCATGTTAATCCCCAGGGCTGAGATACTCAATCCCCTCAGCTGCTGGGACTTGTTCCCAGCTGAGGAGCGCTGCCATGCCCAAGGACACATTCATTTCCTAGGGCCAGCCTGCATCCAACGACCTGGCAATGTGGCAGATAAAGGCCTGGCCCACTTACCAAAGACAACTTTGAAGAGCCATTTTAGCTCTAGAACTTGACTAGATTGAGCTTATTTCAACCTGGATCCCTGTGGGTCCCTGTCTTAGACCACAAAAAGACTCTGCTATTTTTTTGTTCAGGTAATTTACTGGAGAATACAGTCAGTATCAATATTTGGGAGGAGTGAAGCAAGTAGGACTGAGAAGAGTTGTGTGAGACTGGAGCTGAGATGAGACCCAGCAGGGCTGCTTAGCTCAGAAGCAGTGGCGCATCTCAGCAGTGGAAACTCACCATCATCACCCAAGAAAGGCGGCACCAGTGGGTGAGAATGCCGGATTCTACTTTGGTTGGTTGAATCTTTGGAGAGCCACATTGGCAGTCTCCACGGATTCTCACTGTCCTCTTCACTGATCAGACACCTGTAGTGGTTCCCACATTAATCAGAGTATCAGCATCATCTAGAGGCAGGTTTTAAAGTATCTAATCCAGGCTCTGTCCAATCAATCAATCTCTCTATCTTAGCATCACCAGACTTGAGTATTATGTTTGATTTTAAGCAACACATTACTCAGATGACCACTGAGAAACAAAATCCCACATAGAATAGGATGACAGGAACAGTGAAGGGGTCTATAAAACACTTAAGATAGAGGCAGTCAAGATATATAGCCTAGAAAGAAGACAGAACTCGAGGGAACATGATCATCATCTCAAATACTGAGCCTGTCCTGTGAAAGAGAGTATCAACTCACTCTGGCTCACTTCAAGAACAGTCCTGAGCTAGATGTATAATCTCTAAGAGGTTAGGGATATCGTCTATACAATTGTCACTGTACCCCCAGAGCCTAGCATTGTACCTACCACAAAGTAATTGCTCAATAAATATTTGATTAAATAAAAGAAATGAGCAAATGTTACAAGGGTTCGTATTTTAACTCAATGGAAAAAGGCCTGCACACTTAGGACTAACAATAAAGCAGGATGCTTTACAAGCTAGCATAAGATATCATTGAGAGGGCCCGGACATCAAAGGAATGACATTCTCTGAGCAAGGGATATTGCAAAGTCAAATTCCTCCTCTGGATAGAAAGCTAGATTTCTGATGCTTCTTTCAACTTCAAGATTCTTTTGCAAGATAGAAAGTGATTATTCCTTGTAGAAGGAATTACCAGAAGGCATGGTGGCTGCTATACACAGGAAGTTTTGAATTTTCTTATTTTACTAAATTCCCACAGAGATTCCAAAACTACCTTGAAGGAAGACACATTTACTCTGTGTCATTCAACTTAAACCATCAATTATTAATATTCTAATTATTTCTCTGCACAAGAGATGGATGCTTGTTGAAAACTATGGGATCTCAGAATCTCTGGACATGGTAGTGATAGAGGATTGCAGATCCAAGTTTGCCTTCTGTCCTTACACACCCAGGACCCCAAGCTAGCATTAAGGGGTTATATCCTTCACATTGTAATCCAGGAAGATGAGATAGGAGCAGAAATTAAGGTCTATGGGGTAGGGGAGTATGATTTTTAAATTCAGGAATCATAGTTACCTTGGAGGATTCAAAGAAATATTACATCAGATAAATGAAGAAAAATGCATAGGTGCATAAAATTTTACAAAGATGTGCCTTTTAAAACACACCGATGAATTAATAGCCCATGGGATAAAGGTAGAAATTTTTAGAAGCTCCTATGCCTTCTGGTTATTTCCCTTTGATCATAGAAAGCTGCTCACATCCGTAATATAACAAAATAATGTTTTGAGATATGACTCATTGCATTTATGAAGTTCAAAGAGATATGAGTGATCTGACTCGGGGTCAAAGAAGATGGGTAGGGAGCTGATTTATACTGCTGGATATTTTAAGGTAAGCCAGGCTTCAGCTTGTGATTACAATACTTCACTGTAAATGGTATTGATTAGCACTTGGTCTCAGGAATGCTCATCTGCTTGAATTATATTTCAAAGTCCTCCTAGGTGTGACAGTCCACATAGGTGGACTGAACGTCATGCCTACTCGATGTGATTAATGAGCAATAATGGACCTGTTCATTGGAAGAAGTGTCAAACCAAAATGGATGTATGCCTGAAATTATCACTAGGATGGTGATCTGTAAAGAAATTTCTTGATGTATGCATCAAGGAATTTACTAGAGAGAAGGCAAAATGTTACCTGAAAAGCTGTGTGGTAAAATGGAAAGGTCATGACTTTCAGAACAGAAAGATCTTGTTCGAATTCAGCTTCACTACTTGCAAACTCTATGCTGTTCAACCAATGGCTTAGTTTAGTTACACTGAGCCTCAGTTCATCTGTAAAAGGGCACTGAGAGCACCTGTTCTACCGTTTTTCAGTTTTGTTGTGATAGTTCTGTAAAGCACTTAGCTTAAGGTTTGGTATGAAGAAGATTCTCCTGTTTAGTTCGTTTTCTATTTTCACATAGAACACATTCTAAGTATTATCCAATAATAGATTAGCACATTTGATTGCGAGACCATCAAGAAGATATATATTAAACAACTTCTGCAAGAGGAATGAGTCTGCAGGGAATACTAAGAGTGTGAGATGCCAGGCAAAGAAAGTAACAGGGCTAAAAGAATTATGGTCAGTAGGAGGAAGCAGGGAGATGAACTTTGCCTACCTAATGATTTTTTTCTAGAGCCAGTCCTGAGTTCTCCCTACATCTATTCAAGATCTATTTCCAGCTTTCCCATCTGGATTCTTCATATTGGCTCAGAAGGAATGAAGCTGAATGACTATTTGCCCCCACCTCCCACACCGTCCACCTTATCTGCAGCAATCCCTGCCATAACCAGGAAAAATACAAAAGAAGCTGGAGGTGGAGAGTGGGAATGTGGAGTTGGTAACACTCAGAGGAGAGGTGTGTGAGCCCCTCTTCCAGGAAGTTTCAGAGAATTGGGGAGATGATGGTAAGAAGAAATTTTACAACTAGGCTGGGATTTGTCAAGCTCAGCAGTATTGACAATTTGGGCTGGGTAATTCTTTGAGGTTGACCTGTGAATCCTATGGGAGGATGTTAAGCCACATCTCTGTCCACACCCTGCTCTTAACTACTTCTCTCTACTGTATGTTCCAAGGTGCATAGCAACTGGAAGCCAATGTAGAATCAAGATAGGGCCGAAGACCCAGGAAGGCCAGAGTCAATACCAACAGTGTCACGGAAATACTCACAGGAGGACTGGTGCAAATTCATTTCTGAAGAAACAAGGCAAATGGTGTTTTTATGTTGCTCTGTGAAATAACTAACACAGGAACTCTGTATGTCTCAAGAGTGGTGGAATGGACAAAGGCATTTTCTGTTTCCCATAGAAACATGTCTAGGGGCCTCATATTGTAAAATTTAGCAAATTTGGTCTGTGAAGAATAATATTTAATACCAGGTTCAAACCCACCCCTGATAGAAATGCTAGATGGCTATTTCCTCCATGCCTAAATATATCTATTTTTCCTCACATCTTATATCTGGAGCTATGAGCTGTGAGAATGGTTAGTAAAATCATGTTCATAAGAAATTCTTTGATTTGCTTTGGGAAAATTATGCAAATACATAACATAATAATCTGATTTATACTACCTACAGAGAGTTAACTGAAGAGGAAAATTAAATGATTATGAGCCTAAGTAGATGATTTATGAGCAAGGGCTACAAAAGGAAAAGTTCTAACGGCAACAACAAAATCCCTATAAAGGGTGAGATGGGAGAAAAATGATGTGGGTTGCCAAAAAGGTTTCTGGGCAAGATTAACAGACTGAAATTGAAAAGAAAACAATTTTGTCCCTTATGACAAGTATTAAAACATTCACATTAAGGATATACTGAGTATTTTTATTGAGAACTTTATACCCTCCAATCCTAGAGGGTCTGAAAACAAAATATGGCAACATACAATACACTTGGAAGTGAGGAGGGTGGAGAGTGGTGAAACACAATGATTAATGCTTTGGGGACCGTCAGAGATGAGGTCCTTGACTTCTAAGGTTAATGGCAAATGCAATTTCTGCTATTCCATTCCTCAGACTTACAACACAGTAAACCATACAGTAAGAGTTATAATGCCTCTGTTAGACCACCTATTATTTATAGACTCACATGTTAATATATAATCTTAGACAGATGAGATAAAATATTTCCATAATACAAACTGCACTGAGTGTTGGCAAATTCTATACCAGTGTTCAGAGAAGGTATAAACTGTTTTCAGGGAAACATAAACCAATACTGGACAGAAACTCTTGGGCAGGGTCATGTTCTAGCAAGTAGTTTGAAGTAAACCCAACAAATGTCCAGTGTCTTGGACAGTATTTCTGCTCTATCTGTGATTTGATAGAAAACTCGTAGGGAATTATGACTTTAGAAGAAAAGTGAGTGTTGAATATGGAAGCAGTAGGTTATCACCAAGGGATGGTCATAAAATAAAATCAAGTATCTGTTCTGTATAGTCAAGACCTGGGATGATTCATTTCAATGCGCCAAGTACCAATAGAGAAGCAATGCCATGCAGAGCACTGTTCTAGGCACCGGGAAGTGAGCAAAATGAATATTACCTGGACGCTCACAGTCTAGTGAAAAAGATACAAATTGACATTTAAAAATGATCTTTGAATAAAAGATTGGGCAGTGGTATAAAGGGGAGGTATAGATAGGATAAAGGGATGAGAAGAAATTCATATGAAATGAGATAATTTAGTAGCCTTTAAATTCCTCAGGTTGTGAGGCATAGCAAATAAAAAAGGGATTTATGATGAAAATTTGTCCCAAATTACTTTGCAAGATAAGTAGAGCTGCTTTAGTTTAGCAATTATCATGAGCAAAATACTCTTTTTATAACTTATCTTTGGTTGTGTTCAGCACAGTTATAAGACACAAATGCACAAATTTATATAGATATATGCAATATTTTTCATGGGAGAATAGTAGGTGGTTTTAGGCATGCTATTATATAAATTATGCACATGTATATATGGATTTGGGGGTTAACCAGACCTGTTGTTGAGGTCCAGATCTGCTGCTTTCTAGCTGTGTAATTTGGGGCATTTAATGTCTCTAAATCTTACTTTTTAAATCTGTGAAATGGAGGTAGTCATGAAGTATGTGAAATATTTGGGCACAATGCTACATAAAGCATTGTGTAAAAGGAATAATTGGGTAAGATTGTATGTGATGAAACCAGGACTGGGGTGTCAACCATGATACGCTGGTAAAGGTTCGACAATTATCTCTTTGGGGTGAAAAAGCCCTGGTTTGAAAATTGTGTCAGATCTTGTGTTGTAAATATCTATCATGGTTCATTTTAGACTAACAATATGATGTCAGCAAACACAGAGTTGGAAATTGCTGTGCATAATTGGCTCTCATTCACTGGTGTACACCAGTTTCAGCAAACTATTGGGTGTCAGTGTTCCACTGTAATGGCATTTAATGTAAAATAATCCTGGTAAAAAAGAAACTGTCGACCGTTGAGATTGTCTTGTCTAGATCACTGTGCCAGAATATACCCAGAAGGGACTGTTAGCTCTGGGAAGAGCTTAATCCAGTAAAATGAAATAAGTTAGGCCAGGTACCCTGGGAAAGAAAAACTTCCTCTCTGGAGTTTGTGAGCAGGTAGACGTAGGATCTAATCTGGGAAGTTGCATGGAACATTCCATGATGGTATAGTAAGCTGGTCCCTGCACTATGGAGGCAGGCTGGCACGAGGCAGCGGATCTTGCCAGTTGATCATGTTCCTCTGAGACTGGTTTGTACCCATGGGCTTTTAAGAGTAGAGAGTTCCCAGAATCAGCTTTAAGTTACTCTGTTATATTTCTGGGTTTTGCTTTGGTAAATTATAGTGTGAAGTTATAATTGGGTGACAGTTGTGAAATGAGGAGTTAGGAAGACTCAGGTCTCCTTTCTAAAGTCAGAGTAGCAGTCACTGCTGAACACTTCCACAGCAAATGTAATTCTTGATTACAGAATCCATGTTATCCTGTGTTCAAGATGTAATGATCTTCTCTTCCTCCCCTCCCCAAATATCAGAATCTCTGAACCTGGGTCCGTGGCTTTCATGTGCTTCTCAAAGGAATGATTAGTCCCGAAAGACTAAGAACCACTTACATTTGTACTATATTCCTGGGTTTATTTTTACTTTATTAATTTTTAAAGATAATTTTACTGTTTATTTTTACTTTATTAATTTTTAAGATAATTTTATTTTACTTTTTAAAATTATGATCCATCTCAAATTCTCTTTTGCAAGAAAGCTATGAATGATGCATAAAAATGAACAATTAGTGCCAAATGAGGATTATTTAATTGATTTAATATTGCGCACTAGTTCTCCTCAAAAGTTAAACATAGAACCACTGGATGACCTAGAAATTCCACTTTTAGGTATATACTCAAGATAATTGAAAACATGTTCAAGCAAAAATATGCATGCAAATATTCACAGCTGAATTATTCATATTATCCTGAAAGTGGGAACAATATTATGTCCTTTAGGGGTTGAGTCAATAAACAAAATGTGGTATATATACACAGTGGAATATTATTCAGCCATAAAAAGGAATGAAGCATTGAAACATTCTACAACGTGGATAAAGCTAGAACACATTATGCCATGTTAAGGAAGCTTTTCATATGAAAGGCTTCCATTTAAATTAAATGTCCAGAATAAGCAAATCCATAGACAGAAAGTAGATTAGTGGTTGCCAGGGGAAAGGGGGAATTGGTTTAGGTTAATAGGTATGGAATTTCTTTCTGGGGTGATAGAAATATTCTGAAATTAGAGTCAGATGATAGTTGCGTAATATAATAAATATACTAAGAACCACTGAAGTGTACATTTTTAAATTGCAAACTTCTGTTAATTATATCTCAATAAAAAATTACATGCTGACTTAAAAAACAAAGCCCTCACATATATGGGGACATGTCAGAGAACTACAGGAACCAACTGAAAGAGTTTTGACTGGCCAAAGCAGGAACAACTTGAGGGGAAAATAATTTATTTGGATTGAATTAGACTCTATTTTGGTTTATAACCCAAAGAATACAATAAATATCCATGAGACTATAATGTTATAAATAAACAATTGAATTATGAATAAATGGGGAGTATAAACAAATCTACAGTGTGGAAGGATTCCAAATAATTTATGCAGATACTTCACCCTCAAGGAAGGGAGAATAACTTTTCACTCAGATCTGGGCTGTGCATAATGATTTCCTTTCAAAGGAAATCACTGGAATGGAAAGGGGGTAGGAGAGTAACTTTGCAGTGGAGAAATATGAAAAACACCACCCAGCCAAGTGCTCAAGGTCAGGGTCAGCAGTGAGGTCATGCTAATAGTATGTATCATCGATATTATGTGATGAAAACAGCATATTCCCTATGTGATCTTCCTCCCCAACCCCATAATGTTGGACAATGAGATAAACATCAAGCTAATTCCAAAAGAGGGACATTATCCACAGTAACTGACCAATACTCCTTACAGTTGTCAGGGTCATCAAAACCAAGGAAGGTCTGAGAAACTGTCACACGTCCGAGGAGACATGACAAGTAATGTAGCGTGGTGTCCTGGATGGGATGTTGGAACAGAAAAAGATTAAAAACTAAATGAATTAGGTAACTATGAGCAGATTTTAGTTTGGACCTTAGTCAATAATAATGTATCAATATTGGTTCATTAACTGAAATAAATGTACCATACTGATGTAAGATGTTAATAGTAGGAAAATTGGGTTTGTGGTACATGGGAACTCTCTGTGCTACCTTCTCAATTATTCTGTAAAACTAAAACTGTTCTAAAAAATAAACTGTCCTATTTTTTAATTGCATGTTAACACTTAGAAAAACAGTTATATTTAAGTATGTGAATGTATATTTATAGAAAGAATCAATATACAGTTATATGGGCTGAGCACTAAGCAATGATTTACTTTTTCAGTGTTGGTTTTTTTTTTTATGTGTAAAAGAAAAAAACAACAACATTCATTCTGAGTTTCTTTCAGCTTGATCCCCTAGGAATTTAACCAACCTATTAAGACCATAAGAGTTGGATACACAAATCTTCTCATGCTGTCAATATCATCTGGGGATTTATCCTCAGGACGATCCATGCAGACCTGAGCAATGGACACCAATAAATTAAAAATGTCTCAACATGCTTACATTGGGATGCAGCCACAGACCAACCCAACCACACTCCTGGACCAGGCTCTTAGCTCTAGTAATATAGAACTATGTGTATTCCGTGTGTGGCTCAGCCATGTATGCTGGCCACATACTAGGTGCTCAATGTCATCAGTCAAGTGAATGCATCAGCCTAATAAAGGAGAAGAAGGGGGCTCTATAATTCACAATTCCCTGTAGCTTTTGAAAGTTACAAAGCCAACTTAATTGTCACCTTGGTCTCTATCAAGAGAAAATATGAAAAACAAAGTAGGATGGAAGGAAATAAATACAGATGTATCTTCCTTCTAACACTGAATAGTATTCCTCTTGTATTCCTAATAGAATAAAATTCTTCTTTGAGGAAGGCCAAGTTAATTTAACTTTAATTTGATCAGTGAGGACTGTGCCAAATGGAGACTTAGACATTTCATTTTTTAACCAACTGTTGAGGCGCTAGTGAGAAACTTGTTGATTATTCTTAATTCAGACAGGCATTTACTATTTTTTAGAGGAAATATCAGCAAGAGATACAGATAATATTTAAAATATCAATAAGATTTATTTTGCCGACTGAAATACGGTCTTTAAACATTGAAGCTGAAGATTTGTTTTTCTATTTCTGGAATGCTCTTCTTGAAAGTTATATTTTGTTAAACTCCCACTTAGTTTGATATTTCTGAGAAAAAATATTGTTTATTGTCCACTTTCAGCATGTATGACTTCTTGATTTATTTATCTGTATAAAATTTGTATTTTCTACTCCTAAATTGAGTGTTTATTTTTAAGGTCTAATTTAAATTTTCCTAAATAATATGTTTATAATACTACCTCCTGACATCAACTTTAGACACTTTTGATTCCCTAGCATGAAAGATAAGGATGTAAATTTCTACAGTATTTGGGTCAAATGATAGGTAAGTACAGCATTTAAAAAACATTTATATAAAATAAAATTATGTGGGTTTCTCATTTGCATAAAATGAGATATATATGGGTCTGTGCATATATGTACACTTATGTATATAGTGTGTTTTGTGTGTGCATGTATAGGCACATACTATGTGGTAGATAGCTATTTAAATCAATAAATAGAATTAGATCATTTTATAGGTATCTTCTGCTTAAAAATACAATTATTTAACCAATTCCCTATTAGTTCTGATAGCCATATTAAGTGCTGTTATAAAAGTATCTAGTCAGCCCTCCATATTCATGGGTCTGTATCCATGGATTCAACAAACCACAGACCAAAAATATTAGAAAAAAATAACAATATACCAATAAAAATATAAACAAAAATACAGTATAACAATTATGAACATAGCATTTACATTGTATGAGATATTATAAGTAATATAGAGATGATTTAAAGTACATGGGAGGGTGTGAGTAGGTGATATGAAAATGCTATGCCATTTTATAAAAGGAACTGGAGCATCTGCCAATTCAGTATTCACTGGGGCCCTGGAACCAATGCCCCTCAGATACCAGTGATGACTCTGCATATGTCGTTGCATAATTACCCAATTATTTTCCTGAGATAAATTTTTAGAAGTGTAACTTCTAGGTTAAGGTGCACATAATTTAAAGATTTTATTTTCTTCTGGCAAATTGCCTTTAAATGCAATCTGTATGAGACTGCCAGTTTCCCCACATCTTTGCCAACTCCTGGTTTGGTGCTCAATTTACCTAAATATTAGGACTGACAATTTAGAGTATACATTTTAGAATGGCCAACTGAATTGAATATTAAGATTATTGACTTAATTTAATATTTTGAATGAACGCTTAAAATACAAGGAAAAACACCATAAAAAAATAACTAATAAGTGCCTACGCACTCAGTGCTTAAGATAACGCCACTGAATTTTTATCATTTTAAGGGGTAAGTTTCATTCTTACCCACTGTAACAATGAAGAAACTATCAGTGCGACAGGCTAACTTGCTTATATTTACAAAGCTAGTTTGATATTTAACACAACTTGATGTGTGTGATTCCTAAGCCCTGACTTTTCTTTCGTAGCCCACTGTTTCCCACAGGTTGGAGCTCGGGTCAATGACTGCCTGTACTGCCCACAGCTAAATGGTCATAGCCAAACCAGATAGATCATATACCTGGATTTGAAAGAAGAAGAAAAAAAAAAAGATATAAAAGTTCTCAGAACAATAAAACAAAAGTTCACCTTAGATGGAGCCTCTGGGGATTATTCATAAAAGGCTTTAGAAATCCAGAGGATTTTTAGACACAAACGGAGGCTTAGAGGGCATCTGGCCTGTCCTCTTTCCATTTTCTCCTACTGACGCCTCCATTTATAAATGGAAAATTGTAAAGAGGCAGATGTCAGTGAGATTGTCAGGCAGCAACCAGTTTATTCACCATTTCAAGGCTCCAAAGGGAATTGCTAAAACTTAAGCCATCCTTTCATTCGGGTAGAAAAATTTCAGAATAAAATGGAAAATCAAAACTCTATTTGAAGAAATTAGCTTTGAGGATTGAAAGTAAAAGTGGACTAGCTATTTCGTAGAGCTGAAAGAATGGTTTATGGTTAGTATGCTGTGACTGTGGCCAGGGCACCAGGGAGAACTTGGTCTGATGTCCACAGCCCCATGGGCAGGGGCCTGGCAGTCACCTCAACTACTTTTATACATTCTGACTTCATCAGATTCTAAACTGAGAGAAAGCCCCGGGCAGGATGAAGGAAGCAGGATGAACTTCAGCCTTTTACTGTGTCTAATCTTCCCTACTTTGGTTGAACATGGCTCCATCTCTTTGGTCCTGTATCTTGCCACATTTAGAATCACCTGGATGGCTTTTAAAAATCCTAATGTTGCACTCCAGACCTATTAATCTCTAGCTTTGGGAAACAGACATCTGGCTGGGTGACTCCAATGTGACACCACAATTGAGACCAAATATAATACTAACAACCCATTCCTTCTTTCTCC